CTATGCTCTTGTTTTGTACCACTTCCAATCAGGATTCAACTATTTTCAGTTATAAGTGTAAGCATGTCACCCACTAAAGCGAATCATATCAAGTTAATATACAATGTATTTATTTTCTAGCAAAAACATGTTGGGGATTTTGCCAATCGCGCATCGCGCGTCTAAACAACTAGTAATATAATATGTGGGGTCACCTCGTACGTGTACGCATACCCATATACCTTGTACCCCCACCCCTATCCCTACCCTACACCCAGTTTCACACTTTTGACCCTTACCACGACATTACCCTCTACCTTTACTCCCTTACAACCCACCCATACCCCTAACAACTACCCTACTCGTAGGGGTGAGGCCGAGGTCGGGGTAAGGTAAGAGGGTACAGGTGGGGTGGGGTTATGATCGGGGGTAGGGTGATTAGGGGCTAGAGGTATGGGATAGGGTGGGGTCGAGGTAGGGGAAGGTGGTAAGGGGTAAAGGGGTGGGGGTTGGGGTAGGGAAGGTACGGGCGGGGTGGGGTAGGGTGGTAAGGGCTAGTGGTGGGGTGGGGGTAGGATGGCGGTAGGGTGGGGCCGAGGTAGGGGCAAGTAGTAAGAGGTGGGGTAGGGTCGTGGTTAGGGGTAAGGATGCGGGTAGGGGTGGGATCGGGGGTCAGTTTAAGGAGGGGTAGGGATGGGGTATGATAGGGGGGTAGGATGGCGGTAGGGTGGGGTCGGGATCGGGGTGGGGGCGAGGTATGTGGGGTAGGGGGGTTAGGGTCGGGGTAGGGTAGAGTAGAGGTAAGGTAAGAGGATGGAGATAATGGGTAGGGTGGGGTCGGTAGGGCGGGGTAGAGGGTAGGGAGGTGGTATGCTTAGTAAGCGGCACTTTAAGCACTTCTTTCGGTTAGTAATCAACTTTTTATGCAGGATGCATGTTTACTTCACCTGTCTTACTAACCTAACTGTGACTTTAGCAGCGAAGTAAAAGCCTTCTAAGGGAGTAAGGGGAAAGGGAACAACAACAACAACAACAACATCAACAGCAACATCAACATCAACATCAACATCAACAACAACAACAAGAATAATGATAATAATAATAATAATAATAATAATAATAATAATAATAATAATAATAATAATAATAATAATAATAATAATAATAATAATAATAATAATAATAATAATAATCATAACAACAACAACAATAATTAATAATAATAATAATCATAACAATAGTCATAATAACAACAACAACAACAACAATAATAACAACAACAACCATAACAATCATAATCATAATAATCATTATAATAATAATAATTATTTATTACTACGTATTATTATTATAATCATAATTCATAGAGTATATGGGCATGGACCTCATGACCCACATACTCTAAGGACAAACACGCCAGCAGAGCATCCACGCGGCACGCTACGGCCAATAGGGCCCCGCAACGGCCTAGGGCCCAATCAGCCCAGAACGCCACCTAGACTTCGGGGCCGCATCGGCCAAACCGCATCGCATCGGCCAGGCTCCGTCCGGGCAAGATGCATTTTCTTGTCTTTTTTACTAAGTGTTGTACTCAACTCATTAGTGGCCCTATTTCATCCAAAGAAAGCATGATTATTGTAATGGGCCTCCTAAGCCCAAAGCTAGGAGCCCAAATCCACATTTTTACCTATAAATAGACCCTTTGGGGCTAGTTATAGGGGGTTGAGAAATATTAATTGCCCACTTTCTCTCTCTAGCTCTCACTTCTCTCTACAATTAAATACTCTATCAATAATAATATAAATAGTAATAATAATAATCATAACAATAATCACAATAATAACAACAATAATAATAATACTAACAACAACAACAACAACAACAATCATAACAATCACAATAATCATAATACGGAGTATATAATAATAATAATTTATTATTATGATTGTTATTACTATTATTATTATTGTAACTATTATAATAATAACAATGATAAATTATGTTTGAACTTTTCAGATATGATCTGAATGTTTTTTATTTGATCTGAATGCTTCTGATCTGATTTGAATGCTTCTGATCTGATATGAATGCTTCCGATCTGTTCTGAATATTTCTGACCTCAACTGATTTGATTTGAATTTTTCTGATCTGATATTATCTGAATAAAATAAGAAAAGCAACAACTAATAAGAATAAAACGAACAGAACAACTTCTTAGGATATTTTCTTTTGGACTGACATTTGTCGGTCTGGTCTGGAATGAACTGGTCCGGTAAACGTTCGATCTTTGTGTATTTTATAACTACAAAAGTCTAATCTAATCTGATGTGAGATTGAAAACAATTCAAAAGAAAATATTCTTAGTCCCTTAATGATTTTATTTTAAAATAGCAGTTTTTCCTAAAAGCACATCCACTTTCTTTGCTACCTGATGCCTTCCTTGCTAACTTGGTCAGCATAATTGGCTTTCATGAATTACAAAGAAGGCTTCACATTTTCCGCATTTATTTTTACACATCAACATAACAGTTGAGAAGAAATCTAATCCAAGAAATTGTTCTCGGGTGTAGTAAACGACGACAATCCGTGAGGCCGATAACAGCTCCTGGCAGCACAATGGGTCGGGCAGGAGATAGGGAGCTGGACAAATGGCAACCACCGATGGCAGGAGTTGTGAAGATTAATGTGGATGCAAGGGCTCATATGCAAGATGATTGGCGGGGAATGGGGCCGGTTGCAAGAGATGTACGAGGCTCTTTTATTGCAGCAAGAAGTATACGGGTGCGGGGAAGGTTTGCGGCTAGTACAACGGAAGTTCTAGCGGTTCGAGAGGCTTTTATTTGGGCAGGACAGGACGGGTGGTCAAGTATGGTTATTGAATCCGATGCTCTCTCAGTGGTCCAGGGGATTGCAACTTCGGATGGTATTGCTCACGATGATATCATTTTTGCTGAGATTAGACATATGATAACTAGTTTTGCTAATTTAAGTGTCCATTTTGTGAAGCGATCAGCGAATCGGGTTGCCCATACTTTGGCTCGGCAGGCCGATTCGGAGTCTGATTGTTTATGGGTGGGAACTCCACCGGATTGTATTGTGATCTTGCTTCGGTTTGATTGTTAAATATATGTTATTTGATTTAAAAAAATGATTTTATTTTAAAATGAGATGAGATAACTTACGCTAAGGGTATTTATAATCAATAATGCTTGATGTACCCACTCTTATACCCACCATGTTTGTGAAGTGTTTTTTTTGTCTGTGAACCCGATTCACAGACAATATTTTGTTTGTGGAAAATAAAAAAACACTTCACAAACATATGTGGGTACAAAAGTGCGTACAAACATCATTTTTTATTGGGAAAGTTCCCGAAATAGAACTAAAACAATTTAAAAATTCCAAAATAGGACTGCCAAGTTTTTTATTTCCAAAATAGGAGTAATTACTGCCATGTTTGGAAAATACTGTCATGTTAGAAGTCTGGTACTGCCAAAATATGACAATAATTAGTCCTATTTTGGAAATAAAAACATGGCAGTCCTATTTTGGAAATTTTAAACCTTTTTAGTTCTATTTCGGTTAATATCTCTTTTTTATTTATAATAAGTAAAGTAATTTTATGCGTACAGCGTTACAAGGTAAGTAGGGATGACAACGGGGCGGATCGGGGACGGTTTTACATATAACCGTACCCGCCCCGTTTGGTAATTCCCCCGCCCCATAACCGCCCCATTACCCAACGGGTAATTTTTATCCAAACCATAACCGCCCCAACGGGTAACGGGTATAACCGCGGGTAACCGCAGGTAATCGCTTTATTAAACGAGTCCTTTATATTTTAATATAAAAATAATATTTTAAAAGGAGAAAATGACATCACTTAGACGACTCTAGACCCAGACGCCACTTTAAAAATACTTAATCTGAAAAATAATTAATCACGAAAAATCTGAAAATAATCAAACACAAGACTATTAAGATCTATTATAAACTTTCATTCATACACTATAGTTAGTAAATCTATTATTCATATATATCCAATGAAAATAGAAAAATATCATCTTTTATTAGTTGTGGGACAAATAATAGATAAGAATGTAATAAAAATATAATTAAAAATAAACGGGGCGGGTAATGGGGCGGGCATGTATAAAACCATAACCGTCCCGTTACACGTAAAAACAAAACAGGTATTCCCCGCCCCGTACCCGTTACCCGGTCAATGCGGTTTTTCCCGTTTTGACCGGGACGGTTCGGTGCGGGTATCCATCGGACGTGTCAGAATTGCCATCTCTAAGACCATTTGTAGTGGTTGGGAGGCTAAAAATTTAAAAATGGACTCCGTCCATATGAAAACAATGTTTAGACTCCTATTCCTTGCATCCCAGCACCGTCAATAAAATACATTCAGCATATTTTTTCACATATCAATTTAGTAAAACATTAGTTAAATCATCATAAGTAATATTTTCAATTTACTTTTTTCCCTAAATAATTATGAAATAAAAAATACATATTTCGATGTAAAAATAAATAAATTTCCTTAATTTTTTTACGTTTTTCGGTTAACAAAAAATGAATTTAGTCCAAGTAAAGTTTTATTATGGAATATTCAGTTATGTGTAGAGGCTCCATGAATTACAAATTTGTGTCTTGTGTTTTTTCAGGCTCAAGAAAATTCCAATAGTTAAAACACAAGATTTTTTTTTTCATTTTATATATTACATGTTGGTGTCATATGAAAGATAATAAAAATTCGTAAATTTTGATATATCTTTTGAAAAATTTGGAGAACAAATAAAAAAGTTATAAGAATTTTAAAAAATATGGGATTAAAATGATGCAGGGATGACATCATCTTCACGTCCATACAATGCATTCTTGGTCATTCCTTTCCCTATTTCTTTTCTTTTTCTTTTTTCCACTCCTACCAACCCACCCTCTATTTCTAACACCCTCCATCCCCTCTTCCATTTTTAATACCCTATTTAGCCTACCACTACATGAAATTAGGAATACAAAAGTTCCATCTTTAACATCTTGGACTCCTAATACTACACCACTCCAGATGGCCTAAAGGTAAGGAGAGACTCGTGTCATCGCCTCATGCTCATCTCTTTTCTCTCTGAACCAAGAAACAAAATATTTTCGATTCAGCGCGCGCCTTCTCTCTCTGCGTTTACCCCCTCTTTCTCTCCACCTCTCTCTATCGCTGAGCACTGCGCGATTCGACTTGGACTCAGCTCCGACTCAGTATTGACCCGGTCGTCGATCATTCGACATATTGGAGCTTCGCCAATTTCACTTGTAAGCATTCCTCTTCAAATTCAAAACCCTAGCTTCACCAATTACGTAAATTATGTGATTTGTGGTTCAACATTTGTTTTTGAATTTTTCAGGTCCAAACCCTACATTATTGGGCCGGATTTGCCTTGTGACGTGATTTTTTCGGCTGAATTTATAGGATTCTTCATCAAATTGATGAACTGGAACACTCACGACAGAAAGTATGAGCATTTTCAGCCCTGGTGAGGACGGAGGCAAGTCGTAGGGCTTGGTTTTCCCGAGTTTCAGGGGAGGATACCAGTGACCCTTCCATGGGCAATGGCGGAGTTGCATGTGTTTCTTCACAGCATATCATGGAGCGTTTTTCTACCTGCAGAAGCAAAATTAACAGCAAAAAATTCTCTTCTCCATCATCTACTTCATCTTCAAAGCATGTGAAGGCTAATGCGAAAATGAAGCCAAAAAAGGAAAATGGGGATGTGGAGTTGAATGAGAAAAGTGAAATTAAAGAAGTCGAGAGTAATAACTTTGACACTGTGAGTGATGAAATTGAGGAGGGTGAGCTAGGAACCTTGCCACCTGAGAAAGATCACCATGCTCTGGAGAATCAGCTAGTTCAAAGGAAATATGAAATAAGGAGTGAAGTTGAAAAGCTAGAGGTTGTGGTTGACACGTGGAGGGGAGGAGGAGAGGGTCAGAAGAGTGAGTATTCCAAAGGGAAATGGCAGAAAGGAGTATCTAGAAGGTATGCGGTGAATAAGAACAAGAATGGGTATGAGTTGGAGAAAGGTGAGTTTTTACCTGATGATAAGTGGCGAAAAAGTGAAGCTCGCCCAGCAAAGGACGATCACAGCCATCCAAGGCCACACAGGGGGTGGAAGGTGGAGCTTGACTGTACTACACCACCTTCAACCAGGGACAAGGGATGGAGAAATGATTACGAGTGGACACCACAATTTTCTGATGATAAGTACTCTGGTGAGAAAGAGTACATCAATAAAAGTGGTGGGGGCCAGCATGGGAAGAGATCTTCTAGCTTTGTTAAAGGGAGGAATCTGAGGATTGGGTCTAAAATTGCCAGCGAGGAAGCTTCCTTCAAGAATGGGATCAACAATGGCAAAAACAATGCAAAAGAGTACTCATCTGGCAATCATTTGAAGCGCCACGGAACCGATTCAGACAGCAATGACAGAAAGTACAAGGGTGAGCATGACGAGTTTTCTAGTTCTAAATACCGCAAAGTTTCTGATGATGGCACACGTTCTACTCACACAACAGAGCACTCTTCACGCCTGTCTGTGGATAGGTCATACAGAACTGCTTCTTCTGGTCGAAGCTCTGTTACTGAGAGGCATTCTTCGAGGAATCAGGATTCATCTAGAGCAGCTCGTGAGAAGAACAATGGTAGCCCTCATCATTCCGAGAGGTCCCCACACAGTCTGATCCTTCATCTCGATTACCGGGATCGTAGCCCAGCCCGCCGTGACCATTTGAGTCATCATGATGATCACAGTAGGTCTCCCTATGGGCGTAGTCGTCATTCTGATCAAAGGAGTAGCCCCAGTTATTCTGGGTGGCCCCCACAAGATCAAGCTAGACAATATGATAAAAAAGACAGGAAAGCTAATTTAATGGAAAGGTCTCAACATGCTCATGGTAGGTCAGGCATAAGTAATAGGGAAACATGCAGGAAAAGTTGGTCTAGCGAGAAGCAAGCGAGTCTCTTGGAAGGTAAACATCTAGAGGAGAACCCTAACCCGAAGGGCTGCAGTGGAAAAGATGATGATGTTTCTGTAAAAGATTCTGAAGTTAAAAGGTATCTGGAGAATAATATTGGATCAATCGACAAATCATATGCGAAACAGAGCGATGGTGAAGAGTTGCTTCAGTGTCCTGCAGTGAGTACCATGGAGTCTCTGATAGAATATGCAGATGTTGAGGAGGTCGTTTCCATGGAAGAAGACATGGACATATGCAATACACCGCCACATGTCACTAAGGCTTCTGATGCAGTGTTAGGAAAGTGGCACTACCTCGATCTGTCTGGTGTGGAACAAGGTCCTTCCAGCTTATTTAGCCTGAAAGCACTTGTTGAAGAGGGCTTTCTTGCATCTGATCACTTCATCAAACATGTAGATAGTGAGAGGTGGGTAACTGTTGAAAATGCAGTTTCCCCAATAGTGAGTGCTAATTTTCCCTCAATTGTTTCAGAAACTGTTACGCAACTGGTCAGTCCTCCTGAGGCTCCTGGTAATATCTTGGCAGATATGGGCGACTTTTCTCAAGATGGATACCAGCCTAGTGAACACATGATTGAGAAAGTGGCAATGCCAGTATTATGCTCTATAGACAGTTTCTGTGCATCTGATTCTTTAGAAGATCTTTGTATTGATGAAAGGGTAGAGGCTTTACTGAAAGATATAACTGTTATCCCTGGCAGGGAACTGGAGGTTGTTGGAGGTGAGTAGCATTTTGTATTCAGCTATTTTTTTCCCATCAAGTCTTTTCTTAGATTTTCCATTACCATTCTTTTCTTGAAATCTTCTCTTTTGTCTCCTAATGTCTACTAGAGGTGCTTAAATTGAGTTCCGAGCATGGGCAATGGGAGAGATGGAATGATATTGAAGGTACTTTTTTATTATTTTTCTTGTGGTTATTTGTTACATCTTTTGAAAGCAATGGCTTTCCCTTCACTATTTGAATCATGTACAGGTTTCACTTGGGACCAATCTCTTATAGGCGGTCACTCTAATGAAAGAAGTGTGAAGTGTGTGCCTGAGTCTTTGATAAAAGAATCCTCAGAATCTAGGCCTATTTTAACAGCATTATCTGAGGCAGATAACATATTTTCACATACTGACAATGATGAATGGTTTTCTGGACATTGGTCGTGCAAGGGTGGCGATTGGAGGAGGAATGATGAAACTGCACAAGACAAATCATGGAAAAAGAAACTTGTTCTAAATGATGGGTATCCTCTATGCCAGATGCCCAAATCTGGGAATGAAGATCCAAGATGGCACAAGAAGGATGATTTGTATTACCCTTCACAGAGCCGCAGGTTTGATCTTCTATCCTGGGCTTTTACATCTCCAGATGAGGGGATTGATTCTAATGCTGCAAGCAGATCTGGTCAAAATAAGCCTGCCAGTTTCAGGGGTGTTAAGGGAATGGTGCTTCCTGTGATCAGGATAAATGCATGTGTGGTCAAGGACCATGGCTCATTTGTGCCTGAGAGCCGCACAAAAGCTAGGGCAAAGGAAAGATATCCTCTAAGGTCCACCCACTCATATTCAGCAAGCCGTGATTCAAAGGGGCTATCTGAAGAAGGTATTTCTTGCACAAAGAATACACAAGAAACAGATTCATGCACCTCCCACAAGATCAGATTGCCCTTGAGCATTCCAAGAGATCACATTTGCACGTCTAATGAGTTGCAGTTGCAGATTGGTGATTGGTACTATCTTGATGGTGCTGGGCATGAAAAAGGGCCTTTTTCATTTTCAGAGTTGCAGGTATTGGTTGATAAAGGAGTTATCAAGAAATATATCAGTATCTACAGGAAAGCAGATAAGATATGGGTCCCAGTTACTTCTCGTGATGAGAGTCATGATCATTTAAAAGATCACAGGAAGAATCATGTGAAGTTTAAGGATGCTACTGGATCCACCTTTTCCAAGTCGAGTGATGTGTTGGGTAGAAGCACTGGTGTTTCGAGTACATTTCATGATTTGCATCCCCAATTCATTGGGTTCACTAGAGGAAAACTCCATGAGTTGGTGATGAAGACTTACAAGAGCAGAGAGTTTGCTGCAGCTATTAATGAGGTCTTAGATCCCTGGATTGGTGCTAGACAACCAAAGGAGTTAGAAAATTTTCAGAAATTAGGTATTGAAACTGTTTCAATGTAGTTTTTTTTGTTGACATTGCAGTGATCTTTATTTTTTCACCATTGTTGTTGCATGGCTTGAAACAAAAATGGCAATGCAAAAACCTGTTTCCTTTGTCTTAAGGCATGACATTTATGACATTTATGTCATTTTTGTTTGTTTGTTTGTTTGTTTGTTTGTTTGTTTGTTTGTTTGTTTGTTTGTTTGTTTGTTTGTTTGTTTGTTTGTTTGTTTGTTTGTTTGTTTGTTTGTTTGTTTGTTTGTTTGCTTATTTGCTTATTTGCTTATTTGCTTATTTGCTTATTTGCTTATTTGCTTATTTGCTTATTTACTTATTTACTTATTTATTTATTTATTTATTTATTTATTTATTTATTTATTTATTTATTTATTTATTTATTTATTTATTTATTTATTTATTTATATATTTATTTATTTATTTATTTACTTATTTACTTACTTACTTATTTATTTTCCAGATCTATTTCGTGCAAACAAAAGAGCCAGGGTGGAGGGTAGTGAAGATGAGTATGAATTGGAAGATGAGACATCAACCCTTACGAGGGACGAATGCCCATTTGAAGTTTTATGTGGAGATGCAACTTTCAACAAAGATCTTGATACTGAATCTCAACTTGAAAGGCAGAGCTGGGGGTTGCTTGATGGCCGTGTTCTTTCAAGGGTGTTTCATTACCTTAAAGCTGATATAAGGGCACTGGTTTATGCCGCATCTGCTTGTAAACACTGGAATTCTGTTGTGAAGTTCTACAAGGACATCTCGAGGCAGGTCGACTTGTCATCTGTTTCTTCACAATGTACAGATTCTATAATGAGGAGCATAATGGTAATATTTTCTTGCATGACACACACTCATTCTCTCTCTCTCTCTCTGTCTGTCTGTCTGTCTCTCTCTCTCTCTTGTATATAAACATTTTTTACTCTCCTTATGGCCTGTCATGTTCACAGAATATGTAAAGAATTATATTGAACTCTGCTTAATAGGCAATTGCTTCGTTTTGAGTCCCTATGATTTTGGAATGAACTTTATGTTTGTTTGATGGTATTTTTGTATATTGTACTTTATTAGTACCTCCGTCCTGAAATTGGCACATGAGGGAGTGGCGTGGTTATTAATAAAAATGGAGATGTGTGGTTGATATTAAATTGATATAGTGTGAATAAAGTAAAAATGAATTGCAACCACTCAAATATTACCAAATATGGTATGAGACAAACTTAATGGGATAGACAAAAAAGGTAAAATGTGACATAGGGGGATAGAGGGAGTATTTCTTAAGCCAACCAAGTATGGATTTTTTATTGCTTTTTTATCTTTTACGAAACCATGAAACAGTAATCCTTTTTGCTGCATGCTTTATAATCGTGCTGATGTTTTCTTTGTTTTCATATTATGAACCAAACATGATACAAGTGATGTAAGGGTGTGGAGCTTTTGTTTGCTTGTTTGGCCCTTTTCTTTCATTTGAGACTAACCTACATATCTTGTGTGCAGAATGGTTATAACAAGCAGAAGATTAGTTCCTTGGTTCTACGTGGCTGTGCCACTATTTCCTCCAGTATGCTTGAGGATATTCTTAAGTCATTCTCCTGCATTTTGACTATAGACATTAGAGGTTGCTACCAGTTTGAGAGTTTGTTTCTTAAATATCCAGATGTTAACTGGATCAGAAGCCATGGTCCGGGGTTGAAATTGAGATCGCTCAAAAATTTAACTGATAAGACCTCATCATCTCATGTAGATGAGTCATGTGGACTTAGAGATTATTTGGAAAGTTCTGAAAAGAGAGATTCTGCGAATCAGTTATTTCGTCAGAGCTTGTACAAACGCTCCAAAGTTTTTGATGCTAGAAAGTCCTCTTCTATCCTCTCTCGAGATGCCCATTTAAGGCGTTTGGCGATGAAAAAGTCTGAAAATGGTTACAAGAAAATGAGGGAATTTCTTACTTCAAGCCTGAATGCTATAATGAAAGAGAATTCCTTTGACTTTTTTGTTCCAAAGGTATCTCTTAACTCTTATTTCTGCAACTTCAAATTTCTTTCTATTAGTGTTCTTATCATTGCTTCCTTTTCCTGCAGGTTGCAAAAATCAAAGAGAAAATAAAAAGTGGATACTACACTGTCCATGGCCTGAGGTCTGTCAAAGAAGATATAAGCCGGATGTGTCATGATGCACTAAAGTAAGTTGCTCTTATTTTTGCAATCAAATTGTGTAGTTTTTTGTGTGTGATTGATTTACTTGGACATATGTAGTTTTTTTAATCTTATGCTCTTGATGTTCAAGAGTTTTATACTTCTCCTCACCATATGTCTTGCTATGCAGGATGAAAAATCGTGGCGATTCCCTACAGATGAACCGCATTATTGAGTCTCTTATATGTCTTGCTACAAGATTGGAAGAAGGTCCACTATCATTTTATGGAGATGAGATGCCACGAAATTCAAAAGATGACTCACCTCCAGGGTTCTCATCTACTGCTTCCAAGTATAGGAAGATTTTTAATAAATCTTGTGAAAAGAAGTACAACAGCTCTAGTAATGGACATACCATGGTTAATAGTGTATCAGACTTTAGTGAATATGCATCAGATCAAGAAATAAAAAGACGCCTATCTAAGCTGAATGTAAAATCAGTACACTCGGGTGACGATTTTAGCCAATCTTCTGATGAAAGCATGACTGACAGTAAGAGTTCTGCTTCTGAAACAGAAAGTGATTTGGACTTGCGCTCAGAAGGTGGGGAATTGGAATCTAGATATGATTCATATTTCACTGCAGATGATGGCTTTGATTCCTTCACTGATGACCGTGAATGGGGGGCTCGAATGACTAAGGCAAGCCTTGTTCCTCCAGTTACCCGGAAATATGAAGTCATTGACCATTATGTTATTGTAGCTGATGAGAAAGAAGTCAAAAGAAAGATGCTAGTTTCTCTGCCAGAGGATTATGATGAGAAGTTTAGTGCTCAACAGAATGGCATAGAGGAGTCTGATATGGAAATTCCTGAAGTCAAGGATTATAAACCTCGAAAGCGTCTTGGGGATGAGGTGATTGAGCAGGAAGTGTATGGAATTGATCCTTACACTCACAATCTTCTCCTTGATTCCATGCCGGATGAGTCTGATTGGTCTCTCCTTGATAAGCACTTATTTATTGAAGATGTGCTCCTGCGAACTCTGAATAGGCTAGTTAGGGACTTCACAGGTAATGGAAACACTCCTATGATATTTCCTCTGAAACCTGTCTTTGAAGAGATCCTAAAAAAAGCAGAGGAAAATCAGGATAGGAGAACTGGAGTGCTATGCCAGGTCATGCTTAAGGCAATTGATAGCCGTCCACAGGATAATTATGTTGCTTACAGAAAGGTGAGATGTTTATGTTTTTGTGAGTAGATGTACTATGTCCTCATTGCTGAAAGCATTTATTTACATTAACGTGTCGTGCTGAAATGGATTAAACAGGGACTTGGCGTGGTTTGCAACAAAGAAGGTGGCTTTGGCCAGGAGGACTTTGTTGTCGAGTTCCTCGGTGAGGTAATGATGCTTGTTCCTGTTGTAGTATGATTGATGTCCTTATTCTCTTATTGTCATGAACCAAGTAAGGAGTGGTCTTCTTTGTTGTGCTCTGTTTCTGAATTTGTCATGTCCCATTTATAATAGGTTTATCCTGCTTGGAAGTGGTTTGAAAAGCAAGATGGCATTCGTTCATTGCAGAAGAATAGTAAAGATCCTGCCCCAGAGTTTTATAACATATATCTTGAAAGGCCTAAGGTACCTGATATCCCTTGATCATAAAACATGACTGAGTCACTGCATCTCCCTCTTTATTTCTCTCACTCTCTCAATTTCTCACACACACATATGTTTTTGTGCTATAACGGAGACGTTTCAAGGTATTTTATTTTTGCTTGATAGGGTGACGCAGATGGGTATGATCTAGTTGTTGTTGATGCAATGCACAAGGCAAACTATGCAAGCCGAATCTGTCATTCATGTAGACCTAACTGTGAAGCAAAGTAAGTAGATATACATTTCATGCTAAAGTTAAGCGCTGGATGTTCTAGTGCCTGGATGTATGGAACACTGTAACTTAAAATGTGCACCATTCATTCTTTGGGAAGTGAAGGGTTAGCTTATGGGAGTTTCTTTGTTAAATTACTGGTTTGCATACATATAGGCCCCATAATAGAAGGTGGCCTCCTTTTCTATATGTTTCTAGGTGATAATATTTAATTGTCTGTGGTAAGTTGGTATATTGACAAATTAATGCCTTTGATCTTATCTTCAATGAGCAGAGTAACTGCTGTTAATGGTCAGTATCAAATTGGAATTTACAGTGTTCGCCCAATAGCATTTGGTGAGGAAGTCACCTTTGATTATAATTCTGTCACAGAGGCAAGTGTACTCAACTTCCTTGGAAGACCGATTCAATATGGTTATTTGATCCTTGAGTTTTATGGTGTTTCCTTTGTTGATAATACAGAGTAAAGATGAGTATGAAGCTTCTGTGTGCTTGTGCGGCAGCCAGGTCTGCCGTGGGAGTTACCTGAACCTTACAGGTGAAGGGGCCTACCAAAAGGTAAATGTTCTCAACTGCTTTTCTTCTGTGATTTTATTTTATTATTATGATGATATTAATAACTAATATTATTGTTGTTGTCGGTGTTATTATTAAAAGAAATATCCCTAAATAGGAGTAACACCGTTTTATCTTTCTTATCTTTCTTATCCTTTTGGTTACGATATCATGTATCGATTCATGTTAGCCGACCCCAAAATCTTTTGGGACTAAAGCTTGGATGTTGTTGTTGTTGTAGGAGTAACAACGTTTGTGAATTCCAAAGTAGAACTACCATGTTTTTATTCCCTAAATAGGAGTAACTACTGCCTAGTTTTTGCATTACCTGACTGTAAACATGGCAGCATTTTCCAAGCTCGACAGTAATTACCCCTATTTAGGGAAAAACATAATAGTCCTGATTTGGATTTTGGAATTACAAAACGTTTTTACTCCTATCTCTGGAATTTTCCCCATTATTAATTATAATTGTAATAGTACTTATTATTGTCTTTTATTTTCCATTTAGGTCATTGAGCAGTATCATGGAATACTGGACAGGCATGGTCTGTTATTGGAGGCCTGCGAACTCAATTCAGTTTCTGAAGACGACTACATTGATCTTGGGAAAGCCGGTCTTGGAAGTTGTTTACTTGCCGGGTTGCCTGACTGGTTAATTGCTTATTCAGCTCGTGTGGTGCGTATCTAATCTACCATGTTCAGATCTTGTAAAACAGGAAGTTTTCAGTATATGAGATTGATTTAATTTTTTTTGGTTTAAGGTGAGATTCATTAATCTTGAGAGGATAAAACTCCCCGATGAGATACTTAGGCATAATTTGGAAGAGAAGAAGAAGTACTTCTCTGATATTTGCATTGAGGTGGAGAAAAATGATGCTGAGATCCAGGTGAACATTTCTTTCTGCCACCCACTCGATCCCGATCATCTTACACCATATCTGCTACGTCTCCTTAGACACTGATATGCTGTGTAATTTAATCCTTTAGGCTGAGGGCGTTTACAATCAGAGGCTTCAGAACCTTGCGCTAACTCTCGATAAGGTAGCTGCAATATGATATCCGCAATAAACGTCTAAGTGCCTGTTTGGCATAGTGTACAGATAAATGCTTTCTTGTTTAAGCACTTTAAGCCTTTTTTCTGAAAAGGACTTATCTACTGCCTTCTCTTATATAAGCAGTAAAAGTAGTTTCCCATTCCAAATGCTTCATTTATGAGTATATAAAGCACCTATTTTATAAAAACAAGTCCTCCTAAGCTTCTTAAAGATTAGTTAGGAAAAATCATTGTGGATTTTGGTTGCAGGTAAGGTATGTAATGAGATGTGTGTTTGGTGACCCTAAAGAGGCGCCTCCTCCTTTAGAGAGGCTTAGTCCAGAAGCAGCAGCCTCTTTCATATGGAGAGGGGAGGGGTCACTTGTAGAAGAGCTTCTTCAGTGCTTGTCCTCTCACATGGACGACAGTGTGTCATATGAACTCAAGTCCAAGATTCGTGCTCGGGATCCTTCTCGGTCTGGTGACATTAGCAAGGAGCTCAGAAAATCATTACTATGGTAAATACTCTGTAGTTAGTTATGCTTTAGTGAGAGATCATCTTTTATATGTTTTGGGGTGAGCAAAAAATTATGGGTCTCATTATCAATTACAACATGAAGGGAAAATATGTGTCTGCAAGGAAATTTATTTATTTTCATCCTCTCTTGTTTATCCACTTCTTTACTTTTTGCTTCTCACTTTCACACTAAGGCATTAGTTGGGTAAATATTTTGAAAGTTGAAACATAAAGCGCCTGATAGATATATAACCTACATTCTTACTATCTCAGGTTGAGAGATGAGGTCCGGAACCTACCATGTACATATAAATGTCGGAATGATGCTGCTGCTGACTTGATTCATATATATGCTTATACAAAGTGCTTTTTTAGAATAAAAGTGAGTATTTTTCTTTCCGGAACTGTAATTTGTTTTGCTGACTTGAACTTCTAATTAAAGCTTGTTGCTTTTTTCTTTATATTAGGAATACAAGAGTGTAACCTCCCCACCTGTTCATATCAGTCCTCTTGACCTCGGACCTGAGTATGCTGATAAGCTAGGGTCTGGTGTGCATGAATATTGCAAGATATATGGTGAGAATTATTGTTTAGGGCAATTGATATATTGGCACAATCAAGCAAATGCGAATCCCGATAATAGCCTAGCCAAGGCAAGCCGTGGTTGTCTGACTTTACCCGAAGTTGACTCTTTTTATGCTAAAGCCCAGAAGCCTTCCCGCCAACGTGTTTATGGCCCCAGGACAGTGAAGTTAATGCTATCCAGAATGGTACGCAATTTAATCATTCATTAACTTGTTCTCTACTTCTCTTCCAACTCCTTGTCAACAATCTTCACGTTTGAGTTCTGATGTAAAATAATGAATAGTTAGGCTAATAGCCCCTTCACAAGAAAGTAGGGTAAACATATAGTCTTCCCCTCCAAAGAAAAAAGACTTTTTGATCATGATACAACTTTTTAATTTTGGCAATGTGCAACTGTTAAGGCATAAATTTACTCGCATTTATTTATTGGTTTCTCAAATTTTGTCATTTTTTATTTGTTTGGGGCCTTGTATAGTTATATACACACATGGATTAGTTCAAATAAAAAGTTCACCTTAGGTGAAAAACGAGAATTAATCTTGACCATTGGTGTTAGAAAATGAGTGGAAGAGATCAAAATTTAAGTCCGAAATGCAGTGGCATTTTGTAATTACAAAGAACTTTTAATACGATAGTGCTGATAAAAGTGTATCAGGATGTAGAATAAGTGCATATGTACAATTTGAAAGTGCATCCCTATACAAAATAATTTGTATGTAATTATAAAATAGTGATAGAAATTTTAAGCATGCATACATAATGCACTCTGTAGTATGAAGTATTATTGCGCATTAAACTTCCAAATATTTACAACTTTGCCATCTTGATTTGTGTGTGAAAGATCTAAATTTATTCTAATTTTTCATGTCTTTTATTTGAACCAATTCCTAGGGCCCGGTTCCGGTGAGAGCACTCCTTAACGTGAGAAATGAGAACGTTCCAAAATGATTTACATTATGGTTCACGTAAATGCACATTCATAGTTAAAGTAATGCAAAATTCAAATGTGCAAATTAACATTTAAGCTTTTGCACAGTTGAAATGCACATTTTCTCATTTTTGATATGCACATTTCTGTTTTACATGATGCACGATACCCAAATCTAACGATCCATATATTCTCATTTCTCTCCTATGGGTATGCCCTGTCAAGGTGGGAAACGTCTCATATGCCAAGCCACATTTAATAGTTCTTTTTGACAATATGTTAACATTTTATTTTATAATATAAAACAATACTTATTTTTTGAGACAAATAAAGCTTTTAAAACAATTTTTAATGGGATGTATCTCATAGAATCAGAGCTGGGTGGATAAAATGGAAGAGTGCATCGGGATTTCTATGCGATCGAGGTATGCCGACTAGACTGAAAGGTAAATTATATCGAACAACAATTAGACCTGCATTAATGTATGGCGTAGAGTGTTGGGCGGTGAAACAATGTCACATTTAAAAGATGAGTGTGGCAGAGATGCATATGTTGCGTTGGATGTGGCAGAAAAGTCTGCTTGAGGAATGAGATAATCAGACAAAAGGTGGGAGTAGCACCTATAAAAGATAAGATGGAGGAGTCTCGTTTGCGGTGGTTTGGTCATGTGCGTAGAAGACCGAGTGATGCACCTGTTAGACAACCTGAGGGGTGGGGAGAAGAGACAGAGAGGAGAGGAAGGAGAAGACCCAAATAGACTTGGATTAGAGGAATCAGAATTGATATGTGTCTTCTTGGCTTGGATGAGAGTATGTATTTGGAGAGGGCAAAGTGGAGGGCGCACATTCGTGTGGACGATTGATTCTTTTATATTTTTCCTCGGTCTCTTTTTCTTTTGTCTTTTTATGTTCTTATGTTATTTTTATCTTCTACTTTTTATATATGCTCGTTTATCTTTTAATCTTTATCTTTCTTATATTCTTATGTTATTGTTTTCTTATATTTATTTATCTTTCTCTTATTCGTTTTATCATTTCTTCTTCTTCTTCTTGTCTGTCTTGTCTTTTTGGCATTGATATCATGGATCGATTCATGTTAGCCGACCCCAAAATCTTTTGGGATTAAGGCTTGGATGATGTTGTTTCGAGGGAAAAAATCTTTTACAGTATATCACTACATATCTATAACCACCATGTTTTTTTTGAAAGATACAACCACCATGTTCTCTACATCATTCTTGCAATGTGACATGACTATTATCTCAGCTTATAATTTCTCATGATATTACTAAAAATTGAAAAAACATAGAATATGATGATGGTGTAGGAATTTTATCCCTTCCAATGTAAGAGCATCAATCTGTTAAATTCTTTATGAACACAAATTTATATGGAGTATAGTTTAATCAAAAGATGAGATGAGTGTGACAGAGATGCGCATGCTACGTTGGATGTGTGGACATACTAGGAAGGACCACGTGAGGAATGAGACAATCAGACAAAGGGTGGGAGTAGCACCTATTGAAGACAAGATGCGGGAGTCACGCCTATGGTGGTTTGGTCTTGTGCGTAGAAGACCGAGTGATGCACCTGTCAGACGAGTTGAGATGTGTGGAGAAGAGGCAGGGAAGAGAGGGAGATGAAGGCCCAAACAGATGTGGGTTAGGGGAGTCCGAAGTGATATGATTCTTCTTGGGTTGGATGAGGATATGGCTTTGGAGAGAGCAAAGTGGAGGGCGGATATTCGTGTGGAGGAGTGATCTCGTATTATCTTTTCCCTTCTTTTTTGTGTGTTTTTATCCTGTTATCCTTATATATATAAACATTACTTTTATCCTTTTTATTTTATCATTTTTAGGTATATTCATCTCTTTTTATATGATCTTTTTTTATAATATCTTATCTTTTTTATCTTTATTTTCATTCTTTTTCTTTTGATGGTGATATCATGTATCGATTCATAGCCGACCCCAACATCTTTTGGGACTAAAGCTTGGATGTTGTTGTATAGTTTAATCTAAATCTCGACATTTTGTTGGATACATTCATTTATTGCTACATGCTCCAGCTCCAATATTAGTTAATGTTTGGAAAGTATTTACTTTCCCAGGAAAAGCAAATCATTTAGTGGACACTGAATTGAAATTGGACGCAATTTCATTAAATATACTAGACGCCCTAGTAAAGTTATTTAAGCAAAGTGTATACCTACATATAAACTTTGTTTCCTGCCAATGGGAATTTAGCCTACGGTGGTTTGGTCTTGTGCGTAGAAGACCGAGTGATGCACCTGTCAGACGAGTTGAGATGTGTGGAGAAGAGGCAGGGAAGAGAGGGAGATGTGTGTTAGGGGAGTCCGAAGTGATATGCTTCTTCTTGGGTTGGATGAGGATATGGCTTTGGAGAGAGCAAAGTGGAGGGCGGATATTCGTGTGGAGGAGTGATCTCGTATTATCTTTTCCCTTCTTTTTTTGTGTGTTTTTATCCTTTTATCCTTATATATATAAACATTACTTTTATCCTTTTTATTTTATCATTTTTAGGTATATTCATCTCTTTTTATATTTTTTTTTTATAATATCCTATCTTTTTTATCTTTATTTTCATTCTTTTTCTTTTGATGGTGATATCATGTATCGATTCATAGCCGACCCCAACATCTTTTGGGACTAAAACTTGGATGTTGTTGTATAGTTTAATCTAAATCTCGACATTTTGTTGGATACATTAATTTGTTGCCACATGCTCCAGCTCCAATATTAGTTAATGTTTGGAAAGTATTTACTTTCCCAGGAAAAGCAAATCATTTAGTGGACACTGAATTGAAATTGGACGCAATTTCATTAAATATACTAGACGCCCTAGTAAAGTTATTTAAGCAAAGTGTATACCTACGTATAAACTTTGTTTCCTGCCAATGGGAATTTAACAATTGTTTGTACATTAAATTTTGGGCAGGAGAAGCAGCCTCAAAGAGCATGGCCAAAGGATCAGATATGGTCATTCAATGGCAACCCCAAAATTGTGGGCAGCCCTATGCTGGATGCGGTGTTGCACAAGGCCCCCATAGATAGGGATCTGGCGATCTGGTTGAAGAATCGGCCTGCCATTTTCCAGGCACCATGGGACCGATGATATTTTTGCAGTCATACTGGATTACTGGCCGAGGGAGTTGCAGCATGCATGTGTCAGTTAATGGAGGGATATTTCGATGATTAGGTATTTTTTTCGTTTCTTTTCGTTTCTTTTCGTTTCTTTTTCGTTTCTTTTTGTTTCTTTTTTGTTATTTGAAGATAGAGAGTAGGTATAAGTGATGGCTCGCCCCGTGTAGTCCAGGGGTTATGGTGGGTGGTTGCTTCATTCATATATATATATATATATGTATATATATATATGCTGGCTCTTTTGCTGCTTCCATTGTGTATTCTTGTGTACAGTTCCAGTTCTATTTTCCATTCTTTTCTCTGTTTTGTAGTGTGTAATTCCTCATTTTAGGGGGTACGTTCTTGTTCCTTAATTCAGTGAAATATCATGAAGAAAAGAAATATAATTTTTCTATCTAAAAGGATTAATTTATCAATCTCAGATAATCTTCACAATGAATATTCTCATGTTTGCTTTGAATTGGCCACTTTTATTAGCCTTACAGTACATGATCGTTTAGTTTTACGGTAGCCAGACAATATTATCACTTTAAGACTTTAAGTTAGGAACTTTTATTAGCCTTACAGTACATGATCGTTTAGTTTTACGGTAGCCAGACAATATTATCACTTTAAGACTTTAAGTTAGGACAGGCATTTTGTGTAGGCTTGGACCGGGACCGGGTTGTCGGGCCCGTTGACCGGCCCGGCCTGTGTAGTACCAACCCTGCCCGCCAACCAGGACCGGTCCATTAGACCTGAACCGGGGGTGGGGGTGGGGGTGGGGGATAGGGGGGGGGGGACTATGTGTTAGCATTTTGGTGGATTGGGTCAATTGGGTGGTTTGAGGGGTGGGGGTAGGAACAAATAAGAAAAACCAAAAAAATATATACAAGACTTGACCCGGCCTCGGCCCGGTCCCGGAACCCACTCGGGCTAGGCATGGACCCGATTCGGGCCGCCCGGCCCGGGACCGGCCCGGCCCGCCACTGTGCGGGCCCGGAACCGGCCCGGCCCGCCACTGTGCGGGCCCGGAATTGGCCTGGTTCTCGGGTCCGGGTTGGGCCTAGGCCCGGTGGGGGGGGTGGGTGGGTCTGGGCTCGGGCCTTGTATTTGGCGAACCGGCCCAGCCGGGTCGGGCCCGGGCTGAATTGATTTTTTTTTCATTTTTTGGGGTTAGCCGGGTTGGGCTTGATGGTTAGGAGGTGTTTGGGGGTTTGGGTGGAGTGGGGGGGGTTAGGAAAGCAAAAAAAAAAAAATATGACCGAACCGGAGGCCCGGCCCGGACCCGGACCGGACCTGGTGGCTACTCGGGCCGGTCCCGGGCCTTCCTTCCCAAAAAAAAAGCCCGGCCCGGCCCGGGTCCATGACTTACTCGGGCTGGTACCGGGCCTCCACTTCCTAGAAACGGTCCCGCCCAAGGCCTGACTTGGGCCTGGTCTTGACTCGGGCCTGATCCGTCCCTAGTTTTGTGTTTCACGAGTGCTCCAAAACGCGTTTTGTGTTTCAGAGTGCTCCAAAACATTTTAGAAGGGAACATTTTCTGTAGTATGGAGAGACCTTTCTTTTTACTTTTTAGAAAGTTCACGTGTTCCAAGTAATTTTAAAGATAATTACCAAGTTTTAATGGAACATAAACTCTCACTACTCCTAGATAGGGGTTGACCTGGTCTTAGACCAGCCAGTTTCGGTCTCGAACCGGTTGGTCGCAGTCCTAGATAAGGGTGGACTTGGTAGTATTGGACCCAGGCCGGGCTGGGTCCGGTTCGGGCCTAGGCCCGGGCGGCCGGGCGGGTCGGCGGTTCAGGATTGGTGGACCCGGGACTGGCCCGGGTAGCCACCGGTCCGGTCCAGGCCTCTGGTTTTTTTTTTTGCTTTCCTAATCCCCCCTCACCCCCACCCCCCCAAACCCCTCCTAACCATCAACTCATCAAGCCCAACCCGGGTGGAACCCCAAAAATTGAAAAAAAAAAATCAATTTGACCCGGGCCCGACCTGGCCGGGCCGGTTTGCCAAATGTGAGACCCGAGCCTGTACCCCCCCTCCCCGCCGGGCCTAGGCCCGACCCGGACCCGAGAACCATGCCGGTCCCGGTCCCGCACAGTAGCGGGCTGGTCCACGGGCAGGGTGGCCCGACCCGAGTCCACCACTAGGACTCGGTCCTTGACTAGTCGGTCCCAGATAGGCCTGAACTAGGGCCGGGTCGGGCCTATATTTTTTTTGCCTACTTATTTATATAACTTCAAGGGCATTTATGTGAAATAAGAACTACATTTGAGAATTGAGAACAAAAATTTAATATGAAATACATTTTCTAATAAATAATAATATAATTAATTATAAGTTGTAAGTTGTAACCAATTAATTAATTTGAGAAGTTCTACATATACAAAAAAATGAATGTATATACAAAAAATATGAACTACAAGTTTACAAATTACAATAGAGAATTGAGGGAAAATTTAAAACATCAAATACATTTTATAATAAATTGTAAAATACTAATCAATTGGAATATCCGGCATAGGAGCCACCTTCGATTGTTGATTCATCCATACAGTCTTGGGAGGGGGTGATGCTAATTTCTTGAGTTCTACGTATGACGTTCAACCAATTGTGATAGCATATAAGCGTCTCAAGAGACTCTGCGCTCAAACTCGTTCTAGATGCCGTTAGGACGTTGCCTGCCGAACTAAATTCTTATTCCACAGCAACTGTTGAAACCGACATTCATAGCACTTGCTTAGCCATCCGTGCTAAAATTGGGAACATTCTTTCTTTTGACTTCCACCACTTTAGAACGTCAAAGTCATCATTTTCGTCAAATTCTACCTCATAATTTTTATACAAAGAAATCTCATCAAGTGCGCTTTGTTCAATAGTGTGAGTTGTTTTAGTTTTTTACATAAGATTTCCAAAAGCAGATTTAAAAAGTGATTTTCCTTTAGATGAAGATGTTTGTGTCAGGGGAGGGGGCGCGTTGCCATATTGTGCATGAAACTTATTAAATAAGGCATAAAATAAATTACTAACCTCGTTGTATTCAACTTGCGGATCTATGGCGTTATCGTCATACATTGGAAATGGACCAAAAAAAGCATGATAATAGAACTTCAAACATTCTTCCAAATTACCAAGTCTAAAACGAGGATCGAGAATAAATGCAATACCATAAATATGCGGAATATGTGCATAATATTTTTAAAAAATTCCTTCATAAAATCACAAAAATAACTCACGTAAGCAGCATTCTCAAATTCATTAAAAGCACCGGCGAGATTAACAACTTCACGAATAAATTGGTTTGAGGTAGGTTTATAAACATGACTAAAACTTTCAGTTGCATTATTAAAAAATATCAAAACATTACAAATTTTTTCGCAAGTGTCGATGTGAGCGGAGTTTAAAATATAGTTATCATATTGTCTGAAAAAAGCAGGAAAATGTTCTTTATATCTAAGAAGAACTTTATTTAATTTATAAGTACTATTCCAGCGAATAGACAAATCTTTAGGAAAAAACAACATATTTCACACCTCTTTCAGCCAAATAATTTTGGGAAAATGGAAACTAATAATCCAACCTTTTAGCGTTCTTCTTATAATAGTCCCACCTTTTCGTTATTCAAGAATAATCCAACCTTTGCACCCCATCTTCATTCGCTGGTCCCTGATCGATTAATGACCTGCTATTCCAAGTTATTTTCTTATCTTTGCAAAATATTATCTTTGTAAAAGATGAGATTTATGGTATAATGGTTTGCAAAGATAATAAAATAACTTGGAATAGGAGGTCATCAACCGGTCAGGGACCAGTGAATGAAGATGAGGTGAAAAGGTTGGATTATTCATGAATAACGAAAATGTGAGACTATTGTAAGAAGACCGCTAAAAGGTTGGATTATTAGTTTCCATTTTCCCAATAATTTTTCCATTTTAATTTAAGTTGACCATTACCAAATACGTCTAATCCCCCCCCCCCCCCCCCGACTACCTCCATAGCATCTCCTAACGCTTTTAGACCGTCTTGTACACATAAATTTATAACATGGCATGCACATCGTTGATGAAAAAATCTACCCATCAAAGTATTAGAACCACACAATTCACGCAATCTAGGTATAACAGCAGTATTATTAGTAGCATTATCAAAACCTATAACAAACACCTTATCAATCAAATTATACTCATTTAAAATATGTTCAATCAAAATATAAATATGTTCAGCGGTGTGACGATCATTAAATTCACGAAAAGCAAGAACACGTTTATGCAAATTCCAATCATTATCAATAAAATGTGCAGTCAGACCCAAATAATGTAAATTATGATAAGTATCATCCCAAATGTCAGAACAAATAGTAACACGACCATCAAAGTTTGCAATTTTTTTTGTAACCTATCCTTTTCAGCACGATAAAGCCTTATAATTTCTTTCTTAACCGTTTTGCGACTATAACCTCTAAATTGAGGATTTAAACAAGTTTGTGCATAATCTTTAAAAGCAAGACTTTCAGAAAACAAATAAGGCAAATTTTCTTCAACAAGTGAGTTAGCCATACCAGTCAAATTTTGTGCATCATTGTATTGGAAATTACCAAAAGGTTGGTCATTTGCAAACCTCGATATTTGAGTTTGCTTCCTCTTGTCTTTCGATATTTTCGCATACTCCACCAAGTGCGCGGACTTAAGATGCCTTGCGAGGCTCCCGTATCCGCCGGAAGTTCTCAAGCTATACTCCTTATTGCAATGATTGCAACTTGCGTACCATTTCTCGATTGTTTTGTCTTTCCTCTTTGTAAAATTATTTTCTATAATAGGAGATTTAGATTTCTTACCAAGTTGGGATGAACCACCCTCGTCCTCCAACTCTTGGTCATCATCCGGGGTGCCGTGACTGCCGTTGCCCCCCGCGTCCTCCTCCGCATCCTCATCCTCAAGCTCGTCTTCGTCAATGGACTCCGAGATGTTTTGTTGATGGAAAAAGCGACCATCATTTTGCGCCAATAGTTGTTGTAGTTGCTCATCGGACATCGCATCTCCATCTCGCCTTTGGAATCCCGTTTCAAAATCTTCTCGACTTTGAGAAGAAGGCCCGACCCGCCCTTTACCTTTGCCTTTGCGTAAACTAGGATGAGTTGTCGCAATCTCCTTCCTTCGGTTGCGTTGGAGATTACCCATATCTACAGAATGTCTACGACGGTCCATCTTTAAAATGTAACAAATATTATATTATATCAAATGTTTTAATATGAGTACAATAGTAATAATAAAATGCGACTAATAAAATTATAGCAACAATTAACAAATTAACTAATAGGGAAATGAAAAAAGTAACAATTAACTAGTTTTATACTTTAATGAAAAATGCAACAATTAACTAGTTTTATATTTTTATGATAAATGCAACAATTAACAAATTAACTAATAGGGAGATGAAAAATGTAA